AAACCAGGACTAAAACAGGTCTAAACCAGGTCTAAACCAGGACTAAACCAGGACTAAACCAGGACTAAACCAGAACTGATCCAGGACTAAACCAGGACTGAACCAGGACTAAACCAGGACTGAACCAGGACTGAACCAGAACTAAACCAGGACTAAACCAAGACTAAATCAGGTCTAAACCAGGTCTAAACCAGGATTAAAACAGAACTAAACCGGGACTAAACCAGGATTCTTCCTCTCTCTCTCTTTCTTTCATTCATTCTTTCTTTCTGTCTCCCCTCTTCACAATGCTTTCTCCCTCTCTCCTCCTTCTTCTGTAGCTCCCTCTCTCCTTCCCCTCTCCTTCTCTCCCTCCCTCTCTCCTGCTCCCCTCCTTCTCTTCTTCGCTTTTCCACCTCACCTTCTTCTATACCTCCCTCTCCTCTCCCCTTCCTTCTCTCCCTCTCTCCTCTCTCTCTCCTCTTTCTCCTCTCCTCCTCCTACTTCTCTTTTCCTTCTCCTCCTCCCTCTCTCCTCCCTCTCTTCTCTCTCTTCCTCTCCTCCCTCTCTTCTCTCTTTTTCTCCTCCCTCTCTTCTCTTCTCTCTCCTCCCTCTCTCCCTCCTCTCATCCCTTTCTCCTCTTCTCTCTCCTCCCTCTCTTCCCTCTCTCCTCACTCTCTTCTTTTTCTCTCTTCTCCCTCTTTCCTCCCTCTCTCCTCCCTCTCTTCTTCCTCTCCTCCTCCCTCGCTTCTCTCTTCTTCTTCTCCTCCCTCTCTCCTCCCTCTCTTCTCCTCCCTGTCTTCTTCCTCTCTCCTCCCTCTTTTGTTCTCCCTCTCTTCTTTTTCTACTCCCTCTCTTCCCTCTCTTCTTCCTCTCCTCTCTCTCTCTTTTCTCTTCCCTCTCTTCTTCCTCTCTTCTTTTTCTCCTCCCTCTCTTCTCTCTTCTTCCTCTCTTCTCTCTTCTTCCTCTCTCCTCCCTCTCTTCTCCTCCTCTCTTCTCTCTCTCTTTTCTCTCCTCCCTGTCTCCTTCCTCTCTTCTTCCTCTCCTCCCTCTCTCTTCTTTTTTCTCCTCCTTCTCTCCTCCCTCTTTTCTTCTCCCTCTCTTCTTTTTCTCCTCCCTCTCTTCTTCCTCTCTCTTCTTCCTCTCTTCTTTTTCTCCTCCCTCTCTTCCCTCTCTTCTTCCTCTCTTCTTTTTCTCCTCCCTCTCTTCTTCCTCTCTCCTCCCTCTCTCTTCTTTTTCTCCTCCCTCTCTCTTCTTCCTCTCTCCTCTCTCTCTCTTCTTTTTTCTCCTCCCTCTCTTCTTTTTCTCTTCCCTCTCTTCTCTCTCTCTTCTTTTCTCCTCCCTCTCTCCTCCCTCTCTTCTTTCTCTCTTCTTCCTCTCTTCTCCTCTCTCTCTCTTTTTTCTCCTCCCTCTCTTCTCCCTCTCTTCTTCCTCTCTTCTCCTCTCTCTTCTTTTTTCTCCTCCCTCTCTCCTCCCTCTCTTCTTCCTCTCTTCTCCTCTCTCTTCTTTTTTCTCCTCCCTCTCTCCTCCCTCTCTTCTTCCTCTCTTCTCCTCTCTCTTCTTTTTTCTCCTCCCTCTCTTCTCCTCTCTCTTCTTTTATCTCCTCCCTCTCTCCTCCCTCTCTTCTTTTTTCTCCTCCCTCTCTTCTTCCTCTCTTCTCCTCTCTCTTCTTTTTTCTCCTCCCTCTCTCCTCCCTCTCTTCTTCCTCTCTTCTTTTTCTCCTCCCTCTCTTCTTTTTTCTCCTCTCTCTCTTTTTTCTCCTCCCTCTCTTCTTTTTTCTCCTCTCTCTCTCTTTTTTCTCCTCCCTCTCTCCTCTCTCTCTCTTTTTTCTCCTCCCTCTCTTCTTCCTCTCTTCTTTTTCTCCTCCCTCTCTTCTTCCTCTCCTCCCTCTCTCTTTTTGCTCCTCCTTCTCTCCTCCCTCTTTTCTTCTCCCTCTCTTCTTTTTCTCCTCTCTCTCTCTTTTCTCTTCCCTCTCTTCTTCCTCTCTTCTTTTTCTCCTTCCTCTCTTCTCTCTTCTTCCTCTCTTCTCTCTTCTCTCTCCTCTCTCTCTCTTCTTTTCTCCTCCCTCTCTTCTTCCTCTCTCTTTTTTCTCCTCCCTCTCTCCTCCCTCTCCTTCTTTTTCTCCTCCCTCTCTTCTTTTTTCTCCTCCCTCTCTTCTTTTTCTCCTCCTCTCTTTCTTTCCTCTCCTCCTCCTCTCTCTTCTTTTTTTTCTCCTCCCTCTCTTCTTTTTTCTCCTCCTTCTCTTCTTTTCTCCTCCCTCTCTCTCTCCTCTCTTTCTTTTTTCTCCTCCCTTCTCTTCTTTTTTCTCCTCCCTCTTCTTCTCTCTTCTCCTCTCTCTTCTTTTTTCTCCTCCCTCTCTTCTTTTTCTCCTCCCTCTCTTCTTTTTTCTCCTCCCTCTCTTCTTCCTCTCTTCTCCTCTCTCTTCTTTTTTCTCCTCCCTCTCTTCTTTTTCTCCTCCCTCTCTTCTTTTTTCTCCTCCCTCTCTTCTGGACTGTGTGGACTGTATTATCCTCATGAATGCTTCTTTGTTCTGAACATCTGCAGTCTCTCCGGCCTCTGATTGGTCAGGAGCCCCGCAGGTCCCGCCCCCTCCGCGCTGTGATTGGCTGAGAAGGCCCCGGGTTCAGCGCGAGGCCACGGGCACGAGGAAGATGGGATCCAGATGTTTTGTGCACGCGGCACTGAGGCTGCACGCGCGCTCAAGGCCACCAGAGGGCGCGTGAGCACAGAGATCACGACACTACGGACGGAAAAACAAATACAAAAAAAAAACCAAATAAATAAATTAATAAAAAATAATTTAAAAAAAAATAAATATAAATAATAAATAATAATAATAATAATAATAATAATAATAATAATAATAATAATAATAATAATAAATAGCGAGTATAAATAATAAAAATTAATAAAAATAAATAATCTAAAGTTTTTTGGTGATGTTTCAGTTAGAATTTAATCTAAATAAACGGTGCATTGCGGTACTTTAATCTGAATAAAACACAAGAAAGAAGACCCAGGTCTAAACCAGGTCTAAGCCAGAACTAAACCAGGTCTAAATCAAGACTAAGCCAGAACTAAACCAGGTCTAAACCAGAACTAAACCAGGACTAAGCCAGAACTAAACCAGAACTAAATCAAGACTAAGCCAGAACTAAACCAGGTCTAAACCAGAACTAAACCAGGTCTAAACCAGGACTAAACTAGAACTAAACCAGGTCTAAACCAGGATTAAACCAGAACAAAACCAGGTCTAAACCAGAACTAAACCAGGTCTAAACCAGGTCTAAACCAGGACTAAACATGGACCAAACCAGGACTAAACCAGGTCTAAACCAGGACTAAACATGGACCAAACCAGGACTAAACCAGGTCTAAACCAGGTCTAAACCAGGACTAAACCAGAACAAAACCAGGTCTAAACCAGAACTAAACCAGGTCTAAACCAGGACTAACCCAGGTTTAAATCAAGACTAAACCAGGTGTAAGTCAGAACTAAACCAGGTCTAAACCATTAAACCAGGTCTAATTTAGGACTAAACCAAAACTAAACCAGGACTAAATCAGGTCTAAAGTGAGAGTGATTTTTTCAGACGAGTGTTGTGATTCGATCTGTTATTTATGTTTTAAAGTATTTATTCTGTCCAAAGTTCACATTTTAAACACGTCCAGAAAAAGAAGAAGAACAAAAACTGACAAAAAAATTTAAACCTGAACTGACAAATAATCCAAGAATAATTTTTCAGAACATGTTTGTGTGGATCTAAATGACAGAATAAAAAAGATTGTGCCGTGTGGAGGAAATAATGATACTTCCAATATTACAACATTTATGATTTGATAAATGACCAGAAAAACTGTGATGTGACCAGGACTAAACCAGGACTAAACCAGGACTGAACCAGGACTAAACCAGGACTAAACCAGGACTAAACCTGCTCACATGTGGTGTTTGGGTTCAGTGGGGCCTTTTGTTACATAACTCTGTCTCTGTGTAAAACTCTTCATCCTTCTGTTTTCTCAGCGCCTGAATGTTTCATGTGAGTTTATACTGTTCTGTTCTGAGAGCCACATCAAACTTTTATATGTCCTCCTCTTCCTCTTCCTCCTCCTCCTCCTCCACTTTGTTTTCTCCTCCTCTCCCTCCTCCTCTTCCTCACAGTTCTTCTATTTCTCCTCTTCTGCTTCACCCTCCTCTCCCTCCTCCTCCTCCTGTCCTCCTCTTCCTCTTCCTCCTCCTCATCCTCCTCTTCCTCAGGGCCATGGCTGTGTCACGTCTCCTCAGGGTCACTGTGGAGAACTCATGATTACGGGGGCTAACCACTCTGCCACTTTACCAAGCAGGAGTCAAACCCACAACCTCCGACAGAGACAGGACTCACTGTGCTCCCGCAGCGGCCTCCAGGAGCCTGTCAGCGGGGGCAGGTGTGAGTCGGAGCCGCGCAGGAGCCGCGCAGGAGCCGCTCTGATGTGGGTCATGTTTAGGCCCCGCCCCCCCGCAGGCCCCGCCCCCTCGCGCACCGGCGGAGAGCGCGCGGAGGCAGCGGAGCCTCAGTCTGTGACGGGGACTCCCAAAGTTTAGCCCGAGTTTGAGCTCTGTGTCCGGACTCTGTCTCCGGACTCTGCCTCCGGACTGTACCTCGGCTCTGTTCGGAGGGACTCGGCCTTTTCCGGGCCGGTTCGGCTCTTTGTGAGGAGCATCTGGAGAAGAAAAGAAGTAAAGTTTGGGGAGAACCAGAGCGCGGAGCGGGACGAGCTGTGGACTGAAGCCGGGGAGAGGAGCCTGTAGAGCGGCTGCACTGCTCGGGACCCTCGGGCGCCTGCGGCTCCTCGGACTCTCTGGACTTTTCTCTCAGTTGGACCGGGACAGAATGGGGGAACATCTGCGCGGGGCTCGCGCTCTGGAGCTCGTGTCTGATTCTGGATTAAACCGCTGGACGCACGAGGCGCACGGCACGCGGCGTGCGTAGTGCGCGTGGACCCTGTTTGGATCCAGTTGGATGAGTGTGGGACTGGCGCGC